AATAAATCAAATGTCAATAAAGGAATAACCAAGTGTCAATAAAGGAATAAACCAAATGTCAATAAGGAGTGGATCAGCAGCGACAATATCGACCACTAGTAAGTTAAGCGAATGAATAAGAATAAAATGGTATTGGCCGAATGGCTGAGGAGCTCAAGTGGTAGCAGGAGAAAGGAGGCGCTGCTACAGGGCCATAGACAGGAACCACTATCAGCGCTGCTAAGTGATGGACAATGGCACGAATAACGGGCATGGATAATGGGCACAAGAATGGGGGTGCAGATGATGGAAGTGGTAGAAGGGTGGGGACTTTGCAGGGCCGTGACAATTATAAGAAATAATTATTTTTAGAAATCATTGATGGTGAATATCGGTACCATATGGCACCTGGGTACCTTATTAGGCAAAATAATCAAAAAAGGTATCAGTAACAATAAAAGAATATCAATCAATAACTGAAATGATGGCAAAATGTGAAAATATGTGAAAATAAGCAATATCTCAATGGATTTATGGAATTGAGAGCCTAAATTGAAAATAAAGCTGGAGATAACTCTCACGCAGCCAATAAGAATTTTCACCAATTTATTAGATGCCATGGGAATGAGTGAGGCTGGGATTCTGGGTTGCTGCTTGAGATTCCCATGCCCACACATGCCCATGCCTAACTTGCCCAACATAGAACTCTGTCAATTCTCCACCGATTGGGACGTTCTTGATATCGTCGGAATTGTACGAATTAGCACTATTTTTGCATACCAAATCTGTACTGAGTTGTCACATGAATGAAAGGGGTTTTATAATTGTGGAAGCGGGTATCCGAGCCGGTTCTGTTACAAAAATGGGGCCGGAGGCGCCCATTTTCGTCCGTTCTTGGCACAGGAAGAGGGAAGGGGGTCTGGTGCGAGTTCATACGAGATTACAGATGTTGTTATAGATGTTGTAACATTGAGGTTTACAGTTGGTTGCACAAGCGGTGTTTTTGATGGTAATAGTTCGATAAACTCTATTTATTTACATATCATGTGATTTGGGTGTGTGCAGGGCCCATAAGAGTCTAAATTGGGAAATTTCCCATTTCCATAACAGGTTCTGTGCATGGGTGATTATCCTGCCTACATCATCCCCCACTTCCAGCACCTCTGCATCTTCCCTAGGCCCCTGCACTCATGGGCGCTTTGTCACAGGTGACATCCAGTCCCCACACCGACATTTTTGCTTCAGCCTCTGGCACTTGGTGCAGACCCCATGATTGCCTGTGCCCAAGACACATACATCCTTGCACTGGACACAACAACTGCAAGGTGGTAGTTTGTCCCCCACTGTAGACGTTTGGTTACTTGCTGCAGGACGCTGCGATTGAGACGATCAGGATGATCAGTAGCACCTGCACCCCCGATCAGCTCAATCAAGACCACTCACCTTTCCCATCACTGACTCGTTCACTTTTTTTTTTCCTCTTCTCCTCTTCCTCAGTGGTGAGATGAGCTGCCACTACTCATTCTGCCTCACAGTGAGCCTCTTCTGCATGTTGCAGCTCTTCCACATGGTCAGCCTCAACCCAGTGCTGCCTGTGTCATTCTTGGCACTTCTGCAGCATGAGCTCCTGCTTGTCACCGGAGTCATATTGGAGGTCTTCAATCCTCCAGGTAGAAAGATCTATCATGTGAGCTTTTGGGGGCATCTTGGGTTGTGGCCCTGACAGTGACCCAAGCTCCCTGTCTGCAAATGAGTTTCTTCAATCCAGCTTGGTCATAGATAAACTTGAAGGGTCCAGATTTGTGTACAACTTCTTCCTCTGGGGCTCTGTCAACTTGGATTGCATGAACTTTGTTGAAGTTGACATATTTATTGAGCAAAACCGCTTCCCAGAGGGATTCAGGGAATTGGGGCTTGTTGAGTTGTCCTTCAAAGGGCCTTTTTCTTATGTTTCAGGAAATATTCCCAAATCTTATTGGTTTGCATTGCCAGGGAAAGGTTTTGGTAATTCCTGTGATGATCTGACCTTTTGGTGCTGGCAAAGGTAACATGGGCATTGTCAGAGGTTCCATGTAAGGGATGAACCTTACTTCACTATAATTCCCATAATAGTGATGCTGTTCTTTATTTATTTATTTGTGCCAAGATATGTAAATTACATATATATACCTCAGAATAGTTGTAAAGGCCTGGTAGCCTTTACCTCTACTCCATTGAATATACAGCACATTAAAGCTTATGTTTAGACGGACCTACTGAGGCCTGAGGTGAACAGGGGAACGGAACGTTACCGTCCCCAAAACAAGTAAGATCCCTTTCATTCCAGATGAACTCTCACTCAAACTCCCTTCTCCCCCATCTCCATTGGATAGATCAAGGCCAGTATCCTGGATGAAGGTTTGACACTTCCTTCTCTTTCCATCGTTCTGTGATGTAGGCAACTCAGGTTTTCGCTTTCTGCAGGGTCTTGTCCCTTCCCTTTTCCATCATCATCAATCCTTGTGCCACCCTTTCCTTTCTCAAGTTGTTCAACAAATGAAAAGATGACTTTGAAAAAATTGCATGTTGCCTGCCTGGACTTACAATGTGTACCCACTGTCAGGGACCAACCCAGGGTCGAGAGCGCCCGGGTATATCACCCGGTGCTGAGGGTCTGGTAGGTATGATGCGGGCACATGTAACAATGGGCCCGAAGCAGACAAGGGTCCCTGGCCACTCAGGCTAAAGTGGGAAATGTGTTATTGTTATTAACAAGGGAAATGTAAGCTACTTGCCTAAAGTGGGAAATGTGAGAAGAAGGTTGCTTCTCAGTTCCCACTTAGGCTGTGTTTATATACATGTGGTTGAGGCCATGTGGGAAGCACCATGTCATCTATGCACACAGCCACATCTGTCCAGGTACCTCCGTAAGAGGTCCTAGGAGCGTCTGGTATGCAGGAGGTCATCTGGTGTGTCCGGGTCTGGGCGCGTTACACTGCAGCCGGGTCAATGGTACATTGATACAAAGGAAGTCATCCATGTGATAAGAAAAGAGGAAAGAGAAGAGAGAAGAGAGGGAAGAAGAAAGAGAAGAGTAAAGGGGGAAGAGGGGGAGTGTCAGGGCACAGCCCCTGATCCCACACACCCTCAGGTACCCTTCCCCCATTTTCTCCTATTTTCCCCTTCACTGTTCCACAATCCCGCATGCATGCAGACCCATGGGAACTTTCTGGGCAAGCAGCTCGCCCAGAATCTTCCCACAGGGGGGTGCCAATTATGGAAAGTTGGCAAAGAGCCGAAAACTGTATAGTTCCTGACTCCCATTTGTAGCAGCTTCACAGGAGGTTGAGAAGGTTACCCTTCTTCTCAACTCATTTCCTGTGAAGGCTGGGGCTAGCCCCCTCAGTGAGTTTGAAGATCTCGGACTGGGACTAGGTACCCCAGCGACTAGGAGGATCCCCCTGGGTCTGTCGCGGAACGAGGGCTGGGCCCTGACAGGGAGGTCGGGAGGAGCTGATGGTGGGGCACCAGGTGAGGTGGGGCTGGTGTGCCCTGACACCCACACATTGTCTGTCCTTTCCATACTTCACATCAAGTGTGACTGCAGTCGCACTTCAGTAACATAAACAACCTGTATAATACTAAGCCACATTACATCATGTAAATACACATATATAAGATGTGTGGGTAGGAGGAAAGGCTCCTCAGCCTTTACTCCCCTGTTAGCAATATAGCTCATTAAAGCGTATTTGTGTGACAGACCAGGAGTGTGAGGCGCTTATAACCATGACTTACAGATATCCAAATGATGTAAACCAGGTGACCGGACAAATGACATAAAATGGACAAGCCTGGTATCCAACCCAGGACCTCTAGCATGCATCCATACACTACTCACCCATTATGCCAGGGAGGTTGCTCCATCCCATATTGCAACAGACTTCCCAATTGTTGTGAAGGTCATACTGTTCAATGACCTTATGTCAGGGCACACACCCTGACTAGCCCAGACCTGGACCCACATGTGTGCTTCTGCTCCACATGCTCCATGCGCCACATGCTCCAGGCCCAGTTCCTATCCTTCATGTGACTTCTGGGTATCCCCAGAAGTTTTCGCCATATTGGGCCACTGTGGGAAAGTGAGAAGTTAACCTTCTTCTCACTTTCTTACCCACAGTAGTTGTGCCCTGGACAGGGCTGTTCACAGGTTAGGCTGTGGGCCATGGAGACAGGTCATGGGGACCTGGGGTCCATCCCCTGACACCTCAAGAACTTCACATCATGCCTTTCGATAATCTTTCAATATCTTCTCAAGCACATCCTTGGGTTCCTTGTCAAAAATAGACAAAGCCCCTTCTTGGCCCTTCTCTTTTCCTGTACTCAGGCCAGACATTGTGTCACCTTTCTTGTCCATTTCAACTAGCACTACTGGTGGTGTTCCCATAACGGAAGTCTCCCTCAACATGTAAACTTCCCAAATGATTTTAGATGTGAGAAACCTTGGTTTTGAAAGATATCCAATGCAAAAAAACAAGGACAAGGAGAAGAACAGAGGTTACAAAAACAAGGGAACAACTAAAAATAAAGAAACCTAGAAAAACTAGAGCAAGCACTCAGGATCCAACCCACCGAGAGTAACTGGAGGTCACAACACCTCCCCTGCTCAGCGAGACTGAAACACTTACCGGAAGTAAGGGACTCCAAGAGAAAACTACATCAAAAAAATCGCTTTCAGGCTAAAAGAAATGAGACTAAAAAAAGAAACAAAGTAAACGTCTTCAGCAGAGGATGAAGTATAAGAGGGCCAGAGCCCAGAAGCATAGACGGACAAATAAACACGTACGGAGTTCATCCAGAGAAATCGACCCAGGTATGCAGCAGCAATAAAACCCGAATCGGCATGACTGTAGCCTTGGAAGGCACAGTATACATAAGGCCGACAGCGGGTACGGCACATAAGATGAAGGCATCACCGGGTAATGTGCCAAGCGCAAAAAAAGAGCACTTAGTCCAACCACTCACAAGTCTGATTTAATCTCGTACCTCCATTAAATAACAAGAAATGAATTGGAAACCTAGGGTATTGGCAATGATAGAGGACCTCTTGCACGGCTATAGGCTTTTCGCGTCGCAAAGATTCATAGGACCCGCTACAGAGTAGCGGGAATCAGCACTGCAACAACACAGGGCCATGCGGCACCATTCAGTGCTAGCTGCCATCATGATTAATCATATGGAATAAGAATACTAAATTGCAGATTCGCCCTTTTGGTCATGCAACTGAACACTATCAGCGACTAGGCCGGCCAACTTGAATGGGGATGGGTGCACCACCAAGAACAGCCGGTGTGACCATGGTCACCATGGAACGAACTTCATTCCCAACTGCAGGACCCGCTTCCATGACATCCTTGTCACCCTCTTCGTCTGCTTCTCCCAAATTTGCAGGCCCCATCCCCTCGACAATGTTCGAAACATTTGAAGAAGCAGGTTTAGACGGTATAGATACAACAGGGACAGGCCCAGTGATATCCTTACCAGTGATACGACTGTATTCGTCAAGATCTTGTTCAGACGCGATGAGTTGCCAATTTTAACAGAAAAAGCTTCAGCATACCAATGGGCACTTGATTTTTGAGGTACATATCAATGAGCTGTGAATTCCTTTTGTCCTCAGCTTTAAATTTCCGTTTGATATCTGCACGGGTCCGCCCTGGCATGACCCGCGCAATGGACTCGAAATCCATATAGAACATGGACAACCACTACCGAAAACTTTCGGATGAGCGAGTTGAGTGGCGAATAAGTGAGTACGTACGCGGTAGAACTCTGCAGTCTCGATTTTTGACCATCGCTGCCCCCCCTTGTTCCTTCTAGAGTGTGACTGTGAGTTGACAAACCTGTCACTTTCTCTTTCAGTTATATGCCTCATTGAGTCGTCTGGAACAACATCTGGTCGAGTATAAGTCATTGATCTCTCGTCTACAGCGATCCTGCCATGCTCGTCCATCATCATACGGGGGACTATCGCATGCCCTGGCAGGCGGTTAATGAAGTCCATATCATCATCCCTATCCAGAATCGGTTCAGATGGCCCGCCCACGACTCCCACGCTGGCATTATTGGACTCAGTGAGTGGGGGGGCCATAGTCTCTGGAACGTTTAGACTGTCATCCTCAGGGTCTCTTGGCAAGCCCATCGTCAGCCGCCTGTCTCGCTCCCTAAGAGATGTACGCAGTTCTCTATTACGCCGTCTGGTTTCTTCCAGTCTCTGGATCTTCTCCGAACGCCCAGGAGCGGATCTACCGACGGGCATGTCACGAACTAGTTGAGACATGGTGATCTGAGTTGGGTCTGGGGGCTCCCTTTCTTCCGCCTCTCTGTCCTCTGCTGCTATTTCTTCAGCGGTCTTCGGTCGACGTTTCCTAGTTGCAATCCCTCGGCGGACAGGCTTGGATGGCCGCTCCTCGCCTGCAGAAGATCCCGTTGCAGGAGATAAACCAGGGTTATTTAACAGGGGCTGAGAGACCTTGTGTTTCCGAGAGTTTCGAGCCGGTGTTGTCCTTTGTTCGGGTGACACAGATACCGAAGTGCCAGGGTCGGCACGCGCAGAAGCAGGAGTAACGTGTGGGAAAGTGGTTATGGCAGTAGACTGTCCTCTGGGGGCGACGGTATCGGACTTAGGAGGGTGAGAAGACGAGGCAGAAGGTCGAGATATTGATATTGAGCCTAATATCGGGGTGGCTCCGGGCGGTGCAATGAAGGGATTCAGATTCTGAGTATTACCGCCCCCGACTTTTCCCATCCCAGGAATAGACGCTTGCGAAGAGGCTGAATCAATACAATTCAGTATCTCCTCCTGTCCGTCCACGCCACGGTCGAGGTCTAGCAAACGTGGTAATCCCTTAACAGGGCCGGAATCCAAAGGCACAACCGTTCCCTGACGGGATACAGATGCCTTGGAAACATCTGAAGGCGCAACCGATCGTCTCTCCAGAGACGATCGGTTGTGCCTTCGTTTGGACCCAACTTTGAACTTCATTCCCCCTGGCTTGTCTATGTTCTAGGGGTAAATAGGGTGGCCCATGGTGTTCCAATTATGAGACATACCGACTCTGCTTTTGGCGACGTGCATCCTGGAGACACAAGTCGAGAAAGTCTTTTTCGGCTTAGTTGTCACGTGATCCGTTTTGGTTCCGCCTTGAGATAGGCCTATTACTCATCACGGGACTATAATAATATCTACCTATGGCCCACCTGACCTACTCTTAGATATAGAGACGCTCCTTGAGTGCACGCACCCTTGCACTGGTGCAACGATCAGTACATAATACTATATACTACTCTCAGGCCCTTCGGGCCTGAGAAGCTCCGGGGTATCGTGACCTGAAAATCCGGAAAACCCCTCCATGCCGCAACTCCTTCGGAGTTCACCGTCACACATCACCCTGCCAATGTCTCCGGACCCGTCGTCACCATCATCGATGTCGTTGACGACATTGCCAACACTTATTTTTCAAAATCACTGTTCCCTTATAAACTTCACTAATACACAACTTCCCTCGCTTCCTTTCCTTTTCATTTTGTCGGCATTGGCTTTGTCTTTGCCATCCTTGCCATTTTCCGAACTAGGTACTATGTAAATACATGGCATAATAAAGTCCTTCAGACAAAGTCTAAATCAAGGCTCTCCAAAGCACTGGCGATTCGACCGATCAGGCGATGAGACTCCTCAACCTCCTCATTCTCAGTTTCCAGCCCCCCATCCGCCATCCCACCGTCGATATCATCAGAGGGTATGAGATTGGTGGTTGAGCTGGGCAGTGTTGTGGAGGGGGTTTCATTGGGTGGTACTAATAGAATGGTCAGAACCATTACAAATGCCCTAATGGATACACTTACTGTTTGGTGGGTTGCTATTCGTGTTTTCTGGGCTGCCACAAGTGTCAGGGCTCGCTGGTGGTCCACTCATCGTCCCTTCCCCATTGTCAGGGCACACCTGCCTGACCCGGCTCCACCTGCCCTGACCCAGTATCCTGCTCACCTCTGTTGAAATAACCACCTCAGCCTAACAGGGTGTATGGTGTAATGGCTGTGCACACTGAGTTCATGATCCAGAGGACTGGAGTTCGATTCCCAGTATGTCCAACTTTTAGGTTTCCCTAAAAGACCATGTGCAAATTCCAACAACCTCTACCCCCCACCCTTCATCATGTTTCCTCAACTCTTGTTCTTCTTTCTACCCTTTTATTCCTTTGTTCTTTCTTCTACCTTTATCTACATGGACAACCTTTCCTCATACCTATGTATTATTGACCCGCCAGCGACACGCGCACGACACACCCAGCCCCAGACGACCTGGATGGCCTCATGGTGCACGTGTGCAGCACATGCCCTTGGGATCCCCCACGGGGACACCCAGATGACTGCGGCTGTATGCAGGGTGACGTGGCAAACCTCATGTGACCCAAGCCACATGTACATAAAGGTACCTGGGGTGGGAACCGAAGAAGTAACCTTCTTCTCACAGTTCCCACTTCAGGTAAGTAGCATAGCCTCCCCTTTTAATAACAACTCACAGTTCCCACTTCAGTCTGAGTGGCCAGGGACCATCGTCCTGGACCGGGCTCGCCAGTACACACGCCCACTCCACACCCCGCAACGGCCTCAGTGCCAGGCACTACCCTCGGGCTGCCTTGACCCCGGATGTGTCCCTGACACCTGTCGCCAGTTAAAAAATGTGCAAGCTTATCCAGCTGGGCGAGTTTGGAACGCAGGTGCGCATTGATGTTGAGGTGGTATTGGGAAGTAGCGGAAATATATCTTGCCAGAGCGGAATTGGTCGATCGAGTGTTCTCAATGGCACCTCGCAGCCAAGCCTCCTCATTTTCCATTGAGGTCCATACCCGACAAGCTTCAAGTCTGACAGTGTCAATCTCTTCACGGGCTCGTTGAAGCTTATGCCAAGCTCGGGTGGCCTTGCAGAGAAGGGGCTTTGCCCATGGTTTCTCATGTACATCGTCATGGCCCCATAAAATCACGATATCTGATATGAACTCGAGGCTGGTTACATCCTCCCAACTGAGTCTTGGCTTCAGGGGATCCATGGTGGATGCAAGATTGTTGTATTTCTCTAGTGTCGAGTTAAGTGTCTTGCCCCACTTCACCACTAAAGATAGGATTTGCTGGTGAGCCTTGTAATCTGGAATAAAAATTGTACTCTGAATGGGGCAGGGAAAGAAGTTGGCTATCACACACCTGTCCTTGGAAGTCCCATCTTCTCAACTTCAAACTGATGCGATATTGCACGATGCTCGAGATCATCAAGGAGGTGATTATAATCCCTCTGCTGGCACAGAGCGATTGCTTCAAGCCGCTCAGGAGAACCAGGCACCCAAGGTCATGTATGAGACATGGCCGGTAGAGCTAACCCCAACGCTGCCAGAGTGGCACGTGTGCTCTAAACAGCTTCGTTTGCCTCTCACAAATGTTGGTCAGCATGTTGGGGTGGTAGCCTAGCCTGGATGGCTATTTGCGCTATCCAGTAGCATATGATTTCCCTGAAGGTAATTTGTGAATGTTTATGTTTATGAACTAGAATTATACCCACTCTGCATGCTCAAGATGCTCTGTGGCCTCTAAATACACGACCTTCGCCTTTTCATCTTGGGGCTCAAACTGAAGTGGGGATATGTAGTTGCGCTCTTCATCCAGCCATTGTGGGCATTACACATCAGGTTCAAAGTTGGGGTCCATCTGCCTTGTTGTCTCGAGGATTTCTTGAACTATTCTCCATGCTGTTGTGTGGTTGTTCAATAAGAAGTCACCTACTTGTGAGGGGTAAGGAAGTGTTTGGCATATTTATTGGATGGATGACATACCTAGACGCTCATACTTTGTTTCATCCCACTTCACAAAATGCATATGAATCCAGAGATGCTGATAGTATGGTGATGCATGTCGGGTTACCGGTGCGAGGGAGTTGCTCTCAGAATATACTTGTTCATTGCCTTCACCATCTTCAATTCCAGCTCCCTGCTGTAGCCCTATGAGGAAATCGAGCTGGCAGAGTCTGTTGTGAGTGGCACCATGGAAAGAACCAGTACAACACCTAAATTTTGCTTCTTGTGCTATATCACCAATGGAAGACTTGGAAAGGGTAGCTGAAAATGTGCAGCCAATATTGTAATAGAATGTTGTGGCCAAATGTCCATATGAGTTGATCAGTGGCAGCGATTGGATATTTGGCTCTGCTAGGTACGTCAATTCTCATCAACAAAGTACATCACATTACTCACAACTCCCCACTCTGGACCATGTCGATAAGGAATTGGACGATACCATATCGGCAAATGACAGAGAAAAGTCCTGTCTCATCCATGAGTTGCATGGCACCCGACTTCGACTTCAAGGGCATTGGCCAAGCATTCTTCCATGCTAGGCAGCTGTCAGATATAAATAACGACTCTGGGCCATCCATCTCACAAGTCGCACATATTACTGAGTGAACTAAGGAAGAGGAATGTTCATACCTGGCTACCACGTTGTGAATGTTTTCGAGTGTCAGCAAAATTATTGACCTGTTCTCGGGGAATGAAGTAGTCACTGGGAAAGACTCGGGCGTCGGTGGCAAAATTATGGTGCAGCCTTGAGAGGGAGGTATTCCCATCAGCTGTGACAATGAGCTGAATGGGGCATTCAGGCTCATCTTCAACCTAAAAACGATGATGCAACTTGGGCTTACCCTTTGCTAGATCAAAATCGGATACTTACCTTACAGTGACAAGCAGGGCAGGAATTTTTGAGATGATAATTGGGCCCCACCTGACCTTGTTTGACAAGTTTATCCAGGTGGAAGAATATCTGATAGAAGATATCGAAAGCAAGTGAGATTTGGGTTCTTAAGTAGGGCTGATATACCATCTCAATTTGCAGTCAGCTGCAGATGCTGGAAAAACACCATAAATAGCTTACCTTGTGTATGTCAGAAACCACCTGGGTAAAATGTTGAATACTGAAAGCGGGTGCTGCTCGGAAAAGAGAGTATAACAGTTCGAGCGATTTCAGGGAGATCACAATTTGGGGCTCTGTTGGAGTAGGGGATAGATAGCCGGCATGCACCAGCGTGTATGTAGGATGGATGTCTGTCTCCTGCCTGGGTATGTATTCAAATGAACTACCATCTGAATATCGGTTAATCATGTACAGGGAGGTGAAAGGAAAGGCTTACCAAATATGTCAAGGCACTTGATGTAAACGTAATTGAGGTTGTCTTGGGGCAGGGGATAGTGAGATGGTGTAGAAGAAGGGTTGGTAGTTTTGAATTCAAGGTATAGGGCAATGAGGTCATTCAGCTGCTCTGCCCAAGCTGCGTGGAGCCTGGCCATGCAGTGGCCCCAAATGTGACTTTTCTTGCACCTAAAAATAAAACATGAGATCAGTCCTAGATGAATAAGAACTGAGAAGTCATCAAGAAATATGTACTGTTTTGGGAACAGGGAGGACATTACCGTCAAGAATTGTTTGCTGGTAAGCCCTTCATCTTGGAACAGCCCAGCATCTGCCATCATGGGGTCATCCACCCAGTCATCCACATTATCGGTATCAAGGGCAAAGCCATTGTTTTGAAGTTCTTCAAGGTCAGCTCTGACTTCGGCCAATGTGTCTAGTTTGTCGAATTCATGTTTGCTGGTGGGTTCAGTGTGCTACACGCTTTCCACGCACCTTCAAGGACTCTTCACTGGGTTGCTTCCATCTTGAGTCATACCCTCTTCCGGGCAACCAATCCATTCCTTTCCAACCCTGGACCTAGCAAGTTAGTCACAACAGCATTTTGCGCTTGTTTTGATCATGGCATCAGGATAAAGATTCTAGTACTGTAAAAAAATGTAGCCCATGAGTAGAGAAACAGCACTCACAGAATGTGGCGACCTTGTACCAAGAGATTGAACTGATCTATTGAAGAGCGCGTCCAACACGCCATACAGTATCAATTCATTATATACAGTTTCTTTTTGTGCGGCAATTCAATCTGGCATGTTCAAGCGCTGTCACTGAAAATCCATCATGCCATTGAAAATCCAATGCTTCAGCATCATGCCCCAGACCAAAACTGAAGGTAAATATGCAAGCGGACACAGACAGATAACAAAACTTACCAAATTCTAGAAACCATGTTGCAACACATGCGTCCCATAGCCCAACATGTGTTTGACAGTTTTGTTTGGACTTCTCATGTGAGATACAGGCTGATGACCGAAGGATGAACTGGTTTGTCGAGGACTTCAGTGTTCCCTATCGAGTTCGCAGTAAGTACACAAAAAAAAGTGCGAAATTCTGGAAAAACATAGCTTCTTCAGACTGGAAGCCCGATTGGGGGCGAATTGATCTAAAAACCATTGAGGAGCACATATCAACCCATATATTTACCACGGAAATGGGTTATATGGTACAGTGCCACCTTGCTGTCCCCCTGACAGGGTTAAGGGAAAGGCTTGATGAGGTTCACCCATTTGTGAGTCGTCAACCTGATGAATCGGTATTACATAAATAACTCCTTGTGCTGTGGAAATAGACAGATGTCTTGGACCGCTTGGGGCAGCCAAGCATCATGTTGATCAATTATGGTGGTCAAGCATTACCTATCATGTTACTTGCCTCGAAAAGCATTGAAAACAATGAAGGGTGGGGAGCACTGTGCAGCGAAATATTAGACAAGATACCAAAAGCAAACAAAGGCGCAGCCACACCAGTAACCCCAGTTCCAGCAGCTCCGAGCAGCACACCAACCATGGGGCGCAGGCAGCCACAACCATGCCAGGGTGAACCACCCCCCACCCCACAGAACACCGCCCTGAGGGCCCCATCCCCCCCCCAGTGGAGACTGCCCGACCCTTTGACAGTGTCTCTGCCTTGAAATACAAGATCCACTGCCCCCCATCTGTTGAGTATCTGGCAGCACAGGTTGGGTACCGCAGGGCGTTCCCCATTGCTCGATGCAGTCAATGCTGGTATCGGTGTTGACATCATTACTCCAGCACATGCACCTGTGACCCCTGCCAAAACTACCCCTGCCACACTGTCTGCCACACCGTCCGCCACTTCATTTGACCTAACGGAATTCAACACTCCTAATGCAACCCAAAGTGGATCAAGCATTTGCACCGACTTCCCTGGGACTACCACTACTCCTGGATCCATGCAATCAGTTTCGAACATCTCACTGCCAGACAGATGCACCAATCTAGCACCAACCCAACATCACCTTCCTCTGACTCGAGCAAACATGCAGCAATTGTCATCATCTCAGTTGAGCAGTTTGACTAGTACTCATAGCATGATGGCTGTGACAGAGGTAGGAAGTCAGTCACTCTTTGAGTCATATGTAAATGTACATACAACTCTGCGGCCGGAGGACATTGAGATCATCACGCTTAAGTCACAACTGGGATTCACCAACATTACCAACTTCCGCAACATGTTGATGATGGAGTGTGACTGTGGGTATGAAGAAGCTTCCTTCCTTGCCGAACTGGCAGCTGCAGGGCATGATTGATAAACGATTCTGCTGTTCCCCCCCCCCCCTCCGTAAATTTCTAGAAAATACAGAAAAAACACACACACACCTGTATTTATTGTGAATTTGGCATAAATGCACGAATTATTCCCATATGCCAAATACAGGGTAAAAACTGTTTACCTTTATTTGTTTATTGGTTGGCCCCTGGCTGAATTCCCAACATGTTGCTCAACATTTTCGCACACAGGGGTTCTTGATGTCCCAGCAGCAGTGCACAGAGTTGTTTGTCGAACCTGCTACTCTGTCAAAAAATCAGAGGAAAGAATTAGTCCAGGCATCATTCAACAAATGGATTCTTGAGCTGAGGAAGAGTTTTGATGCCCAAGTCCATGCTATTGTGCAGGAATTTGTTAGGCACGGTTCATGCTATTCAGCAAACCAGATACGAAAGCAAGTTGTCTATAAGTTTTCTGCACCAAAAAAAGTACGGAAGCCAATGCTCCCTAATGCCTGGGCACATGCAAAGGTGCAGGCACGTCATAAACAAGGTATGTGGTTTCATTAACGGATAAAAACCATGTAGAAATGCACTAACCTCCCATGCACAACAGAGAAAGCGCTGCCAAACCTACCATACTCCAAAGAGTACCTTGAGCTTCTTGACGACATCAACAATGAAGAAGTGACGTTTGATGACATAAAGAACCCACTTACTCCAATGGATGAACATCACGCATGAGTTGCCTTAGAAGGTGTTGTTGTCAAAAGGGAGAATCGGGCCCTAAAAGAAAGCATAATCTCACCTGAACTGTCAGCACAATGCATGGCCATCCATGCCCGAGACCAGCTCGTCCAAATTGTATGTTCAACAAGATGCATTAGTCCCCAGAGAGAATAACAAGGCATAGGCAGAGAATGTGAACTGGGCATGTGGAATTCAAGTCATGATTATGATGGCAAAAGGGTCTAGCAATGATGTATTTGCACCAGTCGTGTGGGCGTCAGAGAAGGCAAAGGAGTATTGGCTGGGTGTAGCAAAAGAGCCCCTGTGGTTACATGCCCGGCTTATGGAGGGATATTGCATCGGGGCTACAAGCAGTGAGTCAAGAATCGGGATACTTTACACTGTTGATGCTGAAACGATTGAAGATGTTGTGAAGGTTCATAAAGCACTCTCCGGTTCATTGCGTTTCCAGTTGGCAGAATGGACAAGAACCGAACTATGTGAGTAGTTAGTTACCCTGTCAAACATCATCAGAGGATTGATCTGGGCGCAATACTAGGCAAGGTAACTGGGAAAACTCAGCTTCCAATGGAGTGGGTGCCTCGGAATTATCTAAAGCTCATGATCTGACATGGTGTCAAGATTGACATGACACACTATCCAGGGGTAAGATAGTTGAGCCCAAAAGGGCTGTGGTCGATCATCTTTGAGAGGCTGTCAAGGGATGGGAAGATGGGAAAATCAAATGGGTTAAGCTGATAGCAGAGGAGATTGAGCAGCAAAAAGCAGAGCTCAGTACTCTAGAATCTGAGGCAGCCCAAGCCCAGACTGGCGACCGTAGCGAGTCACAAGCCATGTGCATCAACCATGATGCTGTCTCTGGATGCCCTTCCACTGTTGAACAATGTGATGATGCCTTATCAAGCCCTAACAGCAGTGTACGGAACAGTGTGGCTGCAGGTGAAAGCAGCACGAGTATGGGAGATAATGTATCACCAGCATGGCCAAGGTTTGTGGCATCAGAAGTATTATTGAAGACTAACCAAAAGAGACTTTTCAGTGGTTTGAACACCGATAATGCCACACCAGCAAGCAGCGCCACTCACACAGGGACCGAGCCAGCGGCAACCATGGAAGTCAGCTCCAGCTCCAGCAGGGGTGCTAACTCGTAAGTGAAAGTTTCTCTGGAAGTTTGCAAAGGTAATTTGATGGTTCTGATAGGAGGAAGAAGTGCAAAGCACTGGCAGACCCGAAGCCACATAAATCTTGCCGACAGAGTACCTTCCCCGGCAACGAGAGGGCAGGGGGTAGTAACACCTGTGTAATGATGGATGGATGGATGGATGGATGGATGGGTACTCCTCACTACCATGTGTTTGTTGTGGTTCTTAGAGTCGCACTGCTGAACAGCATCAATGATGTTCCCATTCATCCATATAAGGCAACTTATGGCTTCGCAGGCAGTTTTCATAGCTTGCTCAATCACATATATTCACATTTTGATATTTGAAAAAAAAAATTGAGGGAAATTCAAACAATGCTGATAATGTTGAAAATGTTGGTAGCAGCAGTGGAGTCACATGGGAGGAAAAGGAAAGGAAGCGAGGGAAGTTGTGTATTAGTGAAGTTTATAAGGGAACAGTGATTTTGAAAAATAAGTGTTGGCAATGTCATCGATGACATCGATGATGGTGATGATGGGTCCGGAGACGTTGGTGGGGTGATGTGTGACGGTGAACTCCGAAGGAGTTGCAGCATGGAGGGGTTTTCCGGATTTTCAGGTCACGGTACCCCGGAGCTTCTAGGCCCTTCGGGCCTGAGAGTAGTATACATATATAGTATTATGTACTGATTGTTGCACCAGTGCATGGGTGCATGCACTCAAGGAGCGTCTCTATATCTAAGAGAGTAGGTCAGGTGGGCCCCCTATAGGTACATATTATTATAGTCCCGTGATGAGTAATAGGTGGCCACATACTCACGGCCCTATTCATTCCTTATTTATCATGTCGGGTTTGTACCTGACATGACAAAGGAAAAAAAAGCCTTTACTCCCCCATTGACAATATAGTGTATTTCTCCGCATGTGAGGCAACCTGATTATTGTGAGATCACTCACAATCTCAACAACTTATTGTTGTAATGTCAACAATTGGTTCCGATGGCAGAGTGGCAAGGGATATGATCGTTGGTGGCAGAAGTGAAGTTTGGGGGCCCATCTTCTGCACCCCATTTTCTTTCTTTGTGCAAAAGGCCTGCCACTGGTGTAGATTGCATATAAAAAGGAAGCTCTTTGGCTCCCTGTTGAAGTCATGAGTCACTGGAACCTTCCAGGGCATTCTGGATTGTTGTGGGAAATTGCCAGAATATAAATATGCACAGACATGCATTGAGCAAAATTGTCATATCCATACAATCCTGACCTCCGCTCCGGGCTCCTGGAACTCTGAACCAGACTTCCAGAGTCCTACTACCCTTCTGTCACCTTCTCCTTGCCGACTCCCAAGAGGTTATCCCACCTCTGGCTCTGACACACCCTTCAGTCCGACTCCGGAACATTCCAGGTCCAACCCCAACCTCAACACCTTCCAGGTGAGTACACAACACCTATGCTCCCGACTCCGGGCCTCCGCTCTGGAATCCCATTCGCGTCTCCTTCTCCGGAACCTCCGGTCTTAGCTCCGACCTTGGACTTTGACCCCACCTCCGCTTATACCCATTGTATTGGTTAGCTCATTCCATTTAATTACGTTTGCCAATATTCCGGAGTTTAACTTCCGAGTTCAGACTTTCCGGACTTACATCGGACCTTGCAACTATTGCATTGCTCCATTCAGTTCCGCTATTCTCCCTCATTCCTATTTGGGCTACTGCTTCCTTTCTATTCAGTCAGCTAGCCATTCCCCACTCCCAACCTCCTTCCTTCCTCCTTGGGCCTTGGCCCTTCACTCCTCCTTTGGGAAACACCATTGAGTCAAACCCTTGACCCTTGGTGTTGTTCCTCTTTCCAGCTCCTTTGTCTCCTTTTGGAGTACCCTTGCTCCTTTTGATTCCGGACCCCTCCTTATATACAATGTACATAGTAACTTGTAACCTCAGTCCGAAATCGACTTGAAATGCCCCCTAGAGACTTTCCCTCTGCTAGATCCGAAATCCCCAGGACAACCAGCAATGGCACAGCACTCCGCATGAGTCGCTGAGGCCGAGGTCCTTCCATGCTAAGTCTCTGTTAGAGATAGGCGGAAACGGACGACTCTGGAGCGGAATCGGAGACTTAGCGTGGAGGGACCTTGGCCTCAGCGACTCAAGCGGAGCGCTGTGCCATTGCTGTTTGTCCATTTGGTCCTTAATTTCACAGTAGGTGAGCAGGAAGTCTCTTGGGGCATTTCAGGTCGATTTCGGACTGAAAACAGACGAGTATGTACAAGCGCCGATATATAAGGAAGGGGCAAAAGCACAAGGAGAAACAAAGGGTGACCGAATCGGAACGAAGACGTCCGAACGGGAACAAAGGGTTAGAGGGAGCGGAGCGGTACCGAAGGTCATAGGGCAAGACCTGTGATACATCCGAAAGGAGGTAGAGTGGGCGAGGCCCAGAGGGGCAGGAGGATGAGGGAAGTGGGGGTGATGACTAACTGGCTAGAATAGAAAGAAGCAGTAGTCCAAATAGGGATGAGGGGGAATTGCGAGAAATACATTACAAACGGCAAGAGTGCCGGAGGCGGTCCGCGAAGCTCGGGGTTGCGGAGCTTACGGAGGTTACGGAGGCGGGGTTGGAAGTCCGAGGAATATTGGCAATGGTGTTCACGTAGTATGAGGTCACCAATGCAATGGACTAAGACCGAGGTGGAGTCAAAGTCCGAGGTATGGACTATGACGGAGGCTCGGAGTAAGATACGAATGGTGTCCGAGTGTGAAGTATGGAACAGCGGTGGATGGTCATAACTTGGCGGAAGGGTGGCGGAGGAATGAGAGAGGGGACAGGTAAGGAAGAGTAGTCAGGTCTGAAGGTGGATATCAGAACGGACGGAGATAGCGTAGGGGATGACGGGAGGGTGGAGGTGTGGTGAGGGGGAGCGGAGAGGTAAGAGGAGGGGTGTGTTGCCGAGACCGAAGGTGAGTATCGGAAAGGCAGCGGTAGGTTATGACTCCGGAGGTGAAGAGGGTGGAGGTCCGGAAGTCGGGTCGGGGTCGGGTATGCACGGATATGACAGTCTCCGATTCCATTCCGGAGTCGTCCGAATCCACCCGTTCTAACAAAAATCATCAGAAAAGTTTCTAGCTTATCTCTGGTCTTGCGAGTATACTGCTGAAGTAAGCGGATTGCCTTATCAGGAATCCCTACATTACAACACTCCCTCTCCCTCAGATCTCTAATACGAGTCTGAGGTGAGAATATTTCTTATTGCTTTTACAATGTGTCTGATGATGTACTTAACCGACACAGAACTTACACATCATAAGTACAGTCTTAATCTAGATCTCTAATACAAGTCTGAGACCTTACATGTCATAGCCTTATATTGAAAACTTATAACACACTTACAACAGGGCTCAACAAAGAGTGCAACATATCTCAGCAACCACATAAACTAGCCACTTGTGGTTTGCTGCAAAATGTTTGTATATTCCTGGACATTTTTAGCAATAACAATAATCTTCATTTTCTGTGATTTTATATTTTACCCCTTTACACAATTTTCTTGACAACAGCTGAATGGAATGGGCTGTAAATTGGGTGGAAAGAAGTCTCAATGTGTCCCTCAGGACTTTTTTTTAAATTCCCACTACTCTGTAGCAGGTCTTGAAAGCATGAACTGAATGCCCATGCAAGAGGTCCTCAATTACTGTGCTATAATGACCATAAGTTCATCACATGTCACACAAAGGTTTTGGATTGAATTGGTGCCTCTGGAAACTCCCAGAGGCCATGGGAGTGAACTAACAGTCATGATACTGCAGTATTGCAAATTCCCATCCTAACCCAGGGTTCTTCTCTTGTCTAAGTTGCACAACCTGCACCCCTTTGTCACAGCCCTGCAAAGTCTCTGCCCTTCTACCACTTTCTGCACCCCCATTCTTGCACCCATTACTTGCACCCGTTAATCACACCATTACCCATCACTTAGTGGCGCCGATAGTGGTTCCTGCCCTACGGCCCCGTAGCAGCGCCTCCTTCGTTCTCCCACCACCACTTGAGCTCCTCAGCCATTCAGCTGATACCATTTTATTCTTATTCATTCGCTTAACTAACTAGCGGTCAGTATGGTCGCCGTTGATCCGTTCCTTATTGACATTTGGTTATTATTTTATTGACACTTGGTTATTCCTTTATTGACATTTGATTTATTCGTATATTGACATTCTGATCCGCCACCTTACTAGCACCTAGATTGTCGGCCAATTCATTCTGCCTCCCAACTTCACCGTCCTCTGTTCCATTCATTTCTTCTGTTCCATTTCCCTGGTCCTTCATCGCTCTTTAGTTTTGTTGTACTTACCATCCCACTCCTGTCCTGCACCGGGCCGACCGGCCCCTTCTCTGTTCTCCTTTCGTATTTATACTTGTAGTTTACTGTCGATGTACCTCAGTTCGAATATCGACTAGAATTCCCCCCAAGTACTCTCATCTTAAGTCCGCCTCTCAGTTCCATCTCTGCTTAAGTACATGTCGCTGCAAGGTACCTCCTGCTAACATGAAATACGGGACAGCCTAGAATGCGTGGCACAATGCTCCAGCCAAGTCGTTGAAGCCGAAGTCCCAACCACCACGATGCCTTGCAACAGAGTAGCTCATTAGCTAAGTGTCCACTCATGCCGCCGTACTCCGCTCTGCTCCCCGCGAATACCTCGAACACAGTTTCTGACAGAGGAGGAGAGTGAAGTTCCCTTCACTCAACTCTGGGAAGTCGACAGCAGAGGATGATCTGAAGGTCATTAATTGTGGAATAATACCCATAGATCTCATCCAGAACAGAAGAGTAGTTGTGGAGAAACCAAGGGAATTATCTGACTCCTGGACTTGCCATGTGTCATGGGACTACATGAGAACATCAGATGGTCATGTTTGGGTCAACCTCAGCGAAATTCCAGAGGAATTCAAGCTAGGAATATGTGAGCAATGCAAGGGATATTGTCAAGGAACTTTCAGAATTTTGGGATATAATTTAGTCCAAGTTTCCCTGTGCATGGACAATTGTATTGTGGATCCCATGCCACTGAATTCCTGTTCTTAGCCAATTCTACACCAAATTCCACAAATTTGGTATCATTCGAAAGCTACAGTTGAGGAGAGTCAGATGGTATGAAGGGACAAAGTTTTTGATTTTCACTTCATTTTTCTTTTGTTCTTTGGGATTTTACTCAAGCCAACAGTGCCCAAACCTTACCACTGTTGGTGGTGGAGGCTTACTCTAGCCAAAGCCATTTGTTTCAGAACTATTCCTTGGCACAATGTAGAAATTCAATATAAGTGTGTACTTTAGTTAGGAAGAGAAGTGAATTCCCCCTCTTCACATCTACCTTGGAGTCAGTGCACTCTGGGGTGCGATGAGAGGCTTAGTAACTAAAGCTCAGGAAAAATTTGGTCCTTAGGGCAATTCCACCAGTTTAGTTGAGTGGTTGGTTTTGTTTGCTAAAAACATCAAACCTAGTACAGTGGACCTCCTGACCCCTTTTTGCCCCCCTGTCAGGGCATGCCCTGACACGCCCCACCCGATCCCCGCTCCGCACCACTTCTCCCTCCTCTCCCTCTTCCTTTCTCCTGTTCTCCTTTCCTCCTTTCTTTCTTTCTCTCTTTCTCTCTCTCTCTTACATGGACCACCTTTCCCGCTGCTCAATGTATCACCAGCGTGCATGCCCATTTCCCCTCCTGTATCTTACCATCCCTATATCACCGCCACCACCGCTGCACTCGCCCTGCACCCACAGTGGGCCCTCTCGGGACCTCCTGCGGAGACACCCAGAGAGCCGTGGCTGTGTGCAAGGGTGACGTGGCACACCCCACGTGATCGATCCTGCATGTATATAATAACAGCTGGAGTGGGAACTGAAGAAGTAGCCTTCTTCTTACATTCCCACTTCAGGCAAGTAGTGTAGCCTTCCCTTTTAATGATAACTCACATTCCCACTTCAGACTAAGTGGTCGGGGACGCTCACCCCGCGATGGAATTGCCGCTACGCACAGCCGCTATTCGTCCCACCGAGTCCCGCACGCTGGGACCTCGCCGCTTTCAGAGCTGTCCCTGACACCCCCCCCCCTTCTTCTTCCCCCTCTCTCCCCTTTAGGAGTCCATTCCCACTTGCAGCACCCTTGACCATGAATATTTCCCTTTGTCTCTGTTCAGACACTTTTGTTCCATTTCTGTCAGGGCCCAGGGGGATCCTCCTAGTTGCTGGGGTATCTAGTCCCAGTCTGAGATCCTCAAACTCACTGAGGGGGCTAGCCCCAGCCTTCACAGGAAATGAGTTGAGAAGAAGGGTAACCTTCTCAACCTCCTGTGAAGCTGCTACAAATGGGAGCCAGGAACTATACAGTTTTTGGCTCTTTGCCAACTTTCCATAAATGGCACCCCCCTGTGGGAAGGTTCTGGGTGGGCAGCTTGCGCAGAATCTTCCCACAGTTGTAGCTGTAATGGTTTCTGGGCAAGTAACTCCCCCAAAACTTTCCCATGGGTCTGCATGCATGTGGGATTGTAGAATAGTGAGGGGAAAAATAGGGGAAAATGGAGGGAGGGTACCTGAGGGTGTGTGGGGTCAGGGGCTGTGCCCTGACAATTTCAGACCCACTTTGTTTCTTGTGCTTCTGTCTCCCCTTATATATAGACAATTGTACATACTTGCTTGCTCCTCAGTCAGTAAATGACCTGAGCAACCTATGCCCCCTAGAGACTTTACCCTTGATATGTCTGAAATTAAGGACCAGCAGGACAAACAGCAATGGCACAGCACTCTACTTGAGTTGCTGAGGCCAAGGTCCCTCCTTGCTAAGTATCTGTTTCCACCCTGGAACTGGCAGAGACCCCTGTCTCTAACACCCACTCTGGGGTGTCTACTGAGTGAATCCTCCAACAAATATTAGTGCAACTAGGGCAAAGAAAACAAACCACATAACTCCATAAATGTCAGGTCACTATTGTCCTACCCACTGTGAATCACATATATTTGATACTCACAGCTGGGTTCTAGGACACCCACCTTACACTTTTTTGAGTACTTTTTGTTTGATATCACACTGATCCCTGGCATTGCTAGGATCCACCACAATTTTATGTGGAAAACAAGTAATGTCCCCCCATTCACCTCAGGCCTCAAGTGTTCCATCTAATGATATGCTTTTATGGGCTGTATATTGACAGGGTAGAAGTAAAGGCTGGTCTGTGCTTTACAGCTATCCTGAGGGTTTATATACAATTCAATACACTCTCAGCACAAATAAATAGAGAAGCATCTGCAATGCTAAATAGCATTGCAACATAATCATTAGACAACACAACATCAATTGATGTTGTGAGTGGAATATAGACATGGGCCAGGACCTCACATCCTCCTCCCTTGTGACGATAAATCACAGACAGGGTACAAGCATATGAAAGAAATTTAAATTTAATGTTCTACATATGAAGAATGTATGCAAACAGGGGCACAGGAGGCTATAATAGTAGTTTGTAGCCAACACCCACTTAGAATTTCTCCTGGAACATATGCACCCAGATCTCAACAACAGCATTGATGATGAAGTGACTTTCTCATTGCTGCGATTGTAAAGGAAATTATAAGAGGAAAATGGCTTCAATGCCATCAAGTACAAGTCATTGAATACCATCATTGATAGTGATGATGTCAAAGTTGAGATTGTTGATGGCAGAATTGTCATTGATGAAGTGAATAATCAACAACAGCATTGTTGTTGACATAGTACAAAGTAGTTAATCAATGACAGCACTGTCATTGATGAAGGCAGGAAAACAACAGCATTGTCATTGACAAAGGTAGGGATATGAGGGGTTCAGTTCCTTATCCATTTGCATGGCATGGACCCTGATGGGCCAGTGCCAGATGGGTAATTTGACATGGTCCTACAAGTCATCATGGACCTTGCTGCATCAATGAAAGAGGGCTTGTGGCTCTCTATGCCAACTAAGCTCATGGGGCCAAACTCTCCTAAGCTCTGCTTTCTCTCTTGACTATGCTTGATCCTTAATTCCATGGTGGGTTCTCCAGGATTTCCACAAGGTCCAGGCTCAGCATCCACTACTCACTCATTGTGAGCTAGACAGCTGCCCTTATTCCTACTGTTGGAATTCCACTCACTCACTCCAACTCTAGCATGTCCTAGCACCTTGGAGAATTTGGGGGAGGGGAGAACTTCTATTCCAGAATCCAGTATGTACAGGATATAAGGAATAATTATTTTTAGAAATAATAGTTCGTAAATATTGGTGTGAAATAATAAAAAAGGGTAACAGTAACAATCAATCAATATCTGAAATGATGGCAAAAATAAGCGATATCTCAATGGATTCATGGAATTAAAGGCCGAAATTGGAAATGTAGCTCAATAGAACTATTATGCAGCCAATGAGCCTTTTCCCAATTAGATGCCATGGGAACAAGTGAGGCTGGAATTCTGGGTTGCTGCTTGAGATTCCCACACCTGCACATGCTTGTGACCTCCCATGCCTAACTTGCCCAACACATAACTCTGTCAATTCTCCACTGATTGGGATGTTTTTGATATCGTTGGAATCATAAGAATTAAGACTATTTTTAGATGTGAAACCCATATGGCATTGTTGCATGGATGAAAGGGGTTTTCTAATCATGGAAGCTGGTATCTGAGCCAGCTCTGTGTTGAAAATTGTATCCGGTGTGACTACTGGACTTATCTGGAGCTCCAATTCAAATGGCTTCAAATCCAGGTCATGTGGCAAGGACATAAAATCATGGACAAGCCTGGTATCAAACCCAGGACCTCTAGCATGCATCCATACACCACTCACCCTTGAGCCATGCCAGTATAGGCTGTTAAACTCTATACTACTGGGAACATATTATATTCTCCAACACTCTGCACATGGGTGATTATCCCACCTACACCGACAGCAACATCACTGAGATAGTTGTCATCATAGTGATGAGTCCTTGTCTTGTTGATGGTGAGAGTAATGACCATGGTGCATGGGATGGCCATGCCCATGGGAAGTGGAGGAAGGAGCATGCCCATGCACTGGTGGTGTGTGGGCAGATTCATATACCAACAAGTGTGTGTATGTCAGAGGGGGGTACTGCAGTGGAGGGTTCACATACACCACAGGGGGGTTTGAGTATGATGTTGTGGTAGGGTTCAAGTACATCAGCACTTGTTCTTTTTACAATGTTCACAAGCATCAGTCATTGGTTTTATCTATCTGCATGTGAGGATGTATATCTGCACAATGTGAGTGGGGGGGATATTGGTCAGGAAGTCTTTTTGCCTCCATCTCAATGTCATTGCATGACATATGCATTTGTGAGGTGTTTTCCTGCTTCTTTTCTCCACCTGCAATCTCCACAAGATCTGGTGACTTACTTCTATTCAGTTCTCTAGTGCTTATATACAGCTTGTAATCATTGCTTGTACTGTAGTTTGAAATCAACTAGAATTTTTCCCTAGCTTACCTCTGCTCTCCATAAGACCTCTGCCTTCTGAAGTATCAGGACCATGTTGAGAATGAGGCACAATGCTCCTTCCTGAGTAGTTGAAGCTGAAATCCTGGCCCACTCACCTAAGTAGCCTCGACCTTGAGATTGGTGAGGTTAACCCTTGCTAAAGCTTGGTCATGTGTAGGATGCCTATATCCTTAGCAGCCAGCATTCAGTCACTGACGGCTATCATCAGTGAAGCTTCACATGGTTCTGACACATGGTAGTGTAGAACCTCACACCTTCAGCATGTATGTAGTTATGGACCAATTGAACCACTTGGGTTCTTTGCCACAGAGTGCAACTGCACCTGGGAATTCAATTCTGTTGACATGGCTGATGTCATAGAAGTGGGTAGGGATTACCACCAATTGACAATATGTCAGTGTGGTGTTGTGGGGACAAGTCTGTGCACCGCAAAAAGTCAGATTCTGTGGAATTTGCCCACCAACACACACACATACCCACTGATATTCTGATGCTCATTCTCTCACTGTCAGGGCAATAGCCCTGAACCCCAAGCCATATGTAATCATGATGGTACATATAGTCATGTGGGTAAGTGGGAAGTTCTGTTAACCACTTACACACACGTAAAATACATACCATCATATGTATCACTTATGCTGAGCAAACCCACTGAGACCTTTTTAAGTGTATAAGGTGTGTTTTACAACACAACCCACCAAAACTATCAAATCGTAACAACTTGACTCGGTAGTGCCTATGGTGCCAAAACATGCCCACAAGGGCAAGGTTGCATCTGTAGTGATGATAAAGAAAAATGAGCAGTTTATAGAGAAACCACAATCTCCCATTATGGGAGATTCAAAATAACAGCCATCATCAGATGATGACGAGGATCAACACAATCCAGAGAGAACAACCACCTCAGGGCTGGTCCCTGAAGGCTTTAAAAACTTGCATGGAGTAAGTGTGGGGCCCAATACCCCTAGAACTCCATGTCACATTGATCTCACCCAAGCTGGGGAAGATCTCTCGCCTCCCCAGGAGGAGATTGACTTGCATGATAAATGCGTAAGCACCAAACAATCAGCCCAAAAAGCTGATTGGATACAGTCACAGGAAACTCCTGGGCCCCACTATCCCCTGGAGTCCTCCCCCATTTCCCCAAGTCAAGCCCCAAAGGCAGACTAAGGGAAACAGAGGGAAGAACCTCCACATATCTGAAAAACTACTGGACTTGTTCCAGGTCCTGTCTGAATGGAGACAGAAAACAAAGAACAGCTTCTTCTCAGGCTAAAGGCCCAAGAAGGCACAAAGAAATGCCCTGAGAGCAGGACCTCTCAGAGTGTGGAAGCTCAAAAAGAACTTCTGCTATTTACACTACCCCATGCCATGCCAGACAATGCAAGGTCACCAACCTTGGAGGAGGTCTCCAAGATCATGAAGAGAAGGCGAACTGAAATGAGGGAGTTTGCTGAGGAAGCCTTACAGAAAAGTAAGGAAACCAGCGAACAGACCCCTCCATGAAAAGGAAGTGCACTCTGTGACAGCCTTGCCTAAGCAAAGCAAGCATGGAGTTTTTACTCCAAGAACCCCTTCTGGAACCCCCAGAAGTGGCAATGCTAACTGGGGAGAGTCACTACTCACCCAGCCCAACTTCTTCCTGGAAAACCAGGAATCATGCATATAAACTTGATCCATAAAAAGATCGAGGAAATGAGCCACAATAGCACAGCTCATCTAGAGATAACTCTAGAAAGAATGGCCAATGCAATCAACACATTGACTGATAAAATCAGCAAGCAAACTGACTTGCTGAAGGAAATAAACTTCTCACAAAATAGTGAGGAAACAAAAAAAATACCCCTGGGCCATGGGCCAGGATAAAACCAGAACTTGTGAAAAATTCACAAAAAGAACAACCAGTGAAAGCACACTGGAATATCATCAGTGACTTGACAGAGATGCAAAGAGATCCTTCTCCCAAGGATAGGAGAAGATGATGCTGAAGGAGGCACTGTTCAGAAATCAGGAGG